AACTTGCAGAAACACGAGGTGAGGACGTGTCTTGGGCTGGAGGCGATACTCGGGTCCTCCCTCCTCGGGAAATGCCTTTTGACCCTTTTTATCTTTAAAGGCTTTTTAGTGGTTTTCTCCAGAAACATTTTTTGGTTACTTATTTTGTTTCTTAAAAACGGTTTCATCCTGCCTAACTGAGGTGGTAGAAGGGAGCTACTCTGCTGTTTGCTTTGGGCTCTCTGTTGCTCTTCCCTGGGTGTTGCGGCCCTGCAGCACCGGAGATGATGATGGTTTGACCGGATCCTTGAAGGCTGATTCATGTGAGACCTTACAGCTTCATATGTGCAGGAACCCCACGACGACTATGTATGCGCTTGGTAAAACCCGTTAATAGCAAATACTCCAACTAGGGTAAGGTTGGTAGAAGGCCTTAAAGATACTCGTCAGCAAAGTTGCTCACCACACAAGTAACGGGGCTTGTGTCTCTCTGCCTACAGCAGTTACGTACTACTAGAAATACAGCTCGACAAAAGTAACCTTCTGGGTTTGGGCTGGTTCAGGACTTCAGGACCTTGGGCTGGCTCAGGCATCGCCTGTCCGGAGACCGGAGGAGCTCCAGTGCGGAGGCAGAGGAGGACGGCAGTGCTGCCTGTGGAGCAGCTGGGCCGCTCCTCTCCACCGCAGTCACCACCGGGTTGTTGGAGTCTGCTTTGTTTTCCTTCAGTTCTAATTTTTAGCAGTGAAATTGGTTTAACTTTTGAAAAAAAGAATTTGCCTCTTCTTACTCCCCTCCTGCCCTCCTTCTGTGTCTGCATGAGAGTATAATTGTTGTGTTTCCCTCCCAGGTGCCCAGGATGGGGGTTTCCAGCTGCAGTCATCAAGACTTTTGCTGGCGTTTACTTTTTACTATCTGCCATCGATCCAGAACTGTTCATGTATATTCCCTGACTTAATTTTAAAGTTCAATAGCACACTTGTATTTGTTGGGGAATACCTGTGCTTTCAAAACTTCTCCTATACTTTTCATCCTGCAGGAGCATATAAAGCATGCTACTCAAGTTCATATGCAGGAGACAATTGTGTTTCTCATATAAAACTGGAAAATAGAAACAGTTTTTTAAACAAATTAATTTCAAGCAAAACACCACTGACCAGTGCAGTATTCATGTATATACATGTAGAGAAATTGTTAGCAGATCTCAGACTAATGATAGGGAATAAAACTCTCTAGGATGATGGCAATTTTGTGTTTGTATTGATTTCAGGGGGGGAAAAAAAAAATCTCCTAAGAAGTCTGTATTCTTTATAGCCTGGTCCTGCAAGCTCCACAGAATTGTTAATTTAGTTTGAAGTAATAGTTTTAACAAATACTAATAGTTTTAACAAATTATTTAAAAAAAGAGAATACCTTTTTACTAGTAGCTCTGGAAGAAAGTCCTATTACTCTCCCTTCAAATAATTTTATAGTCTAATGTTGTCTTGTTTCTTACATCTTATTTATCATTCACTTGATACAGTTTTGAAAAGCCACCTCCTGCCTTAGCTGGATCATTGCAAGTGGATAAAAAGCTTCAGAGTGAACAAAGAATCTTCACAGGACAACTGAAAGCTCCCAAGTCTTTCACTGTTGATGAAGACGACAAGTAGGTAACTGCCAAATGGGTAAAGTTATACATCTGATACATCTGCTTGGTCAAGTTATTAAAAGACTTAAGAATTAAATCCAAAGAAAGAAAAACAGGAATGTTTGCGAAATGATTGCTCCGAAGATACTAAGATAATTGTATGTTCTTCTGTATCTTCACATTTGTAAACATTTCCCTGGGAATATTCCAGAACATTTTGTTATCTGGTGCTCCCAAGGACCCGACAAACATCCTACTGCTATATTAAAAAACATAGACCCACACATTGGCGACACATAGAAGTCTTAATAAAATATAATTAAAAAAAGGTATCAAATGGCGTATTCTTTAAAACTAACATGCAAAAACAGTGAAAGATTTTTTTAGGAATTCTTTCAAATGTGACTCTAAGCTTGGGCTTTTGACACAGAACTAGTCATAAGCTTGCCTTGGTTTTGGTGGGGTTTTTTCTGTTTCAGGTCTCCAAAAGCAGTGTTAATTTGCTGCTTGAGCTCAGTCACCGAGTTCAGCATGCTCTTATTTCAAAAGATGTTATTGAACACGGAGCCAAAGAGAGAAGGCAAGTGGAGTTGTTTTAAAATTTGCATAGTTCTAAAAAACTTATTTTTAGAACAGGTTGGGATATAAAAGAACTTTTCACTGTGACACAAAACCTCCTCTTACCTATCCACGTAATTCCTCTTGGTTGTCTGGCAGCTGTGAGGTGGCAAAACGGCAGGCACAGGAACCTAGCAGATGGCTGAAGTGTGGAGTAGCACGTTCTGCATCCTTCCAACAACTCTCTTACCCAGAGTGTGACCAAAGTAGGGACTGCGATGAAAGTCCCAGCCAAATAGGGGAGAGACACTGTGATATTCTGTTTAGGGCACAGGTTTAGAGCCGTGGACTTGGGACTTACCTGTTCTGGAGAAATTCTTTTCCTCTTGATGTGTGTAAGTGGGCACAGAGATTCCTGGAGTAGCCAGTACAGACAAGTAGGCAACTCCCAGTCCAGAGCAGTTTGAGCCAGGCAGTTCAGACACCCTCCCTTACTGCTGGTGCTAGTTTGATGGTATTTTTCAAGGAAATATTGAATAGCCTAGGACATGTTTGTCTGAAAGATACCCTCTTGCGTTGTGAGCTACAGAGGTGAGAGGTGATCATCTGGAACGTTCTTGTTTGCCATTGTGCGAGCTGACATAAGAAGCATTTTCAGTCGTAGCAGCGTAGGCCTGGAAGGGACCTAACACAGCACCTTGCATTGAAGCACCCTTTCCTAGCAAACGTCTTCTCAAAGTTGTTTCCTTCCTGCTTTCCTCAAAGGTGCTATTTAAAACGGTCTTTTTATCGCACTTGTTGTTTTCCACCTCTTCCTCTACAACTTTCAGAAAGGGTAGCGTTCACAACTGGAGTTTTGCAGAGTCTATTTTAAATATGAGGGCTAACCCTGCAAATGCTCTGTGTTGCCAAATCTGACCTCTTTCATGCTGCTGTATAAAGTACTGCTTTGGTTCCGTTTTTCTTGAATGTGTTAATTCTGTGGATCTTCCCTGATTTTAAGGATGTTTTAGGAGACTGGATTCAGTCAGTTGCAGTCATACAGTATGACCAAAGTTGTAGTAAGTGTTGTGGTGATGTTGCCTGCTTTAGGTAAATGCTGTTTTCCATATGAATAAGACAGGATATTACAGGTAATTACAGTATCTCTGTTTTCACTTTTACTACAAATAGCCCTGAGAGAAGTCTAGTGCAAAACCCATGTGCACTAGCTATATAAATCTAAATATAGCATAATAGCCTAGTGCATAGCATGATAGAAAATAGCGTTACAAGTCTAAGATTTCTGTCTTTAAATACAGAATCTGGTATGTGACCAGAAATTTCAGCTGTTCCCAGCACGCCTCGGGAGGCATTAGAATGCCGGTATATTTTATGACAGCAAAGTTCAGCCTCTGTTTTTTCCCAGGCAAAGTTGTTGTATTGAACAGTGCCTCTGAAGTTCTCCCTTTGGATTGACAGGTGCTTTCCGTATGCCAGTAATCCTAAACAATTCTTTTAATCTAGATCTGACAGCTGATACTTTGAGAATCTATGCTATTTGCTCATAACATTTTTCCATAGATGTGAGTGAGCAGATGCTAGACATTTTTATATCTGTTTATCTACTCTGGCGTAAGTGCTCGTTAGACAAAGTCAGAATCTGTGGGTTTTTAGTAATATTGGCACAGAAAGGTAGCATAACTTTTATGGAGTATCTTTTAACACCTGTCGCCAAGTGACAGTGCACATTTTTAAATGTAAACAAGGCTAGGGTGAAAATGCAGGTCACACGTCAAGAAAACGATGTCTACTTTAGTTCCATCTATGTAAATAAAAGACAAATCGGAGGAACGTTTCCAGCTAGTTAGCAGACTTTACACTGAAAGTGTGTTACGTTGAACAGGAGGTCTAGGATCGGTCATGCGCCTTGTACTATTTCAGAGCCTGGACTAGTCAAAAGGTAGGAGGACGCTATTTTTCAAAGGTGGGCCTTAATCACTGCTAGTGTTTTTCCTTTGCTACTCTACACAGAAGTTTTTAGAGATACAACGTCAAAAGATTTGAAGACTTTCTGTGAGGTTTTTCCCTTGTTAATTTAAACACTTTAAAAGCAGAGGAGAAAGCAACTGCTGAGCAGGTATCCAATAAAAAAATTGCTTAGTCCGTTAATGCAAACTTACACATTTTTGGTATTATTCTGGTGGTTCAAAACCAAAACAAAACATCACAGCTTAAAAAAAACCCAAACCCACACTTGCTTTTTTTGGCTTAGGATTTTAATATTCTAGGAGGAGGGTTACTTGTTTTGGATCAGTCATTGTAATGTTTTCCTTTTATCTGCTGAACGTTTTAGCTAGCTGATAATGCGGCAGTTCACATTTCCCTGCAAATGAAAGTAATTTGGAGCTTGGACTTTTAGCTTGGGAGAAATTAAGGATGAGATTTGGAATTGCAATGTCTGAAATCCTAAGCTTGTGTGGATCGGCATCATTCTAAACACTTAGTAGTTTTGTACTTACTTCAATCAGTAGTCATTTTGATTAACTAGGTGTGGATGGGCTGCCTTTCAAATCCCTAAATGGATCAGAAGTATAAAAGCAAAATTTGATTTATGAATTCAAGTAGCAAGTGGGAAAGACAACATCACAAATATGAGGTGAGATGAGGTAATCTTTGTAGCCATTTGTTGAGGCAGCTTAAGTGTTAATTTTTTTGCTGGCAGCACCTGTACTAGGCTGCAGAAGAGACAAACTTTTTCAGATTGTGTTTGCATGTTTTAGTCCAGTGTGCAATGAATGCAGCATGTTTCAGCCCTGAGGCAGAGGATGGGCTGTGCTATTCTGTAGCTGCTTTTCCAAAAAAAAACCAAAACACCCAAACCAAAACCCAAAAAAACCCCAACCCTAAAACCTCTGGGCGTGACTACCCAAAGAAATTGTTGTGTGATACACTTACAGTCTGGATTTTTGCAGCACGTTATTTTCTTTCTGGTATCTGTCTACAAGCATACTCTTACACTGCAGTGAATGCAAAGTAGCAGATTGTTGGTGTACTTGAAGGTATCTTTTCTGTGTAGTCGTGGTCTTTGGGTAAAACTTCATCTAGAACAGTCTGTCTGTTTGTAAAGCTGAAATTCAGTGAGGTCACAGACTCTGGGTCTCATCTTTACTACCAGAACTCTGGATGAGATTAAGCAAGGAGAAAAATCACATGAAGGGAAATATATTTAATTTAAGGGGTAGGAATCAAGATCCAAGATATTAAAGGAAAAAACAGAAATAATAGCTGAAATCTCTTAGGTGTTGCTTTCTGTTTCTTAAAGCTATCAGAATTATTGTTTGGTAGTACATCAGCTTTGCCATTTAATATTTCAGATTTGACAAGGGCTTGCCAGTACAAATGACAAACGCAAAGGCAGTTTCCTCTTCACAGGGCTTATGCGTATATAATTCAAAGCCGCCCCACAGATTTTTAGCAGAAGAAACTTATTCAAATCAATTCCTATCAGAAGTAAAATGTCAGCTGTTTACTTGCTTTAGCAAAACACTCATGAATGCTTTCTGGTTTGATCTGAAGAAGTTATAATTGTTCACAGAAGCTGGAAAGACCTCAATATTTTGCTTAAGCAGGAACTGCAGAATAACCTGTTCTGAACTCTGGGAAATGACAGGGACAGAATCCTTTGCTCCTTTAGTCGTGTGAGGTTATTGTTTTTATAAAGATGCCATCTGCCATTCTGTAAAGTCTGCTTTTATCTCATTTATGTTAATAAAACTTCTGACTATTTTCTGCTCTAATTGAAACCACGTATTTTGATAGCCTAGTTTTTCATTAGATGTCCTGATTAAGGTAATCGAAACCAACCATCTTGGTCACCTCTTGGCCTATGACCCTGTAACAAGAACAGAGAGAACGCGCACACGACAAATGCGATTGCACTCTCCCCCTATGAAGATTACCTATTAATAGCAGAAACCAGCATATGCAGAATCATAGGGTATGTTAAACATCATTCTCCTCCTAGATATGTTACACGTTAGTTTGTATTACATGTTTGTAGACATGACTTTCATGTTCTTGCTTTTCTGTTTTTCCTTATTTTTCTAAGATACAGATGTGCAGTTAGCAGAGTTGCTGTTGGAAACTTAGTCTAAATTACTTTTTTCTGTTGCAAGAGTCACAGGTTTTAGTTAATTCTAGGTAGAGATTAACAGTTGCTCTTCCCACTGCCAAATGTTTTTTATACCAATTTACTGATATATTGGGCCCCAGTTCCCTCAGAGTCAATTACGCTTATCCTTATGGCTCCATTATTACAGTTACAACAGACCTCAGAGGACAAGTGTCACTGCACGATTATGATGATTAGTGTTAACACCCCATTTTTCCCATTTTAAAGGGAGTCAGCATTTTAACAGTTTTCTACTTCATGGAAGTTCTAAAGCCAAATTTAATATTAGCCTTCATTTAACAGGCATGCTTCCTATGACTAGATTTTTTTAATAGAACCCAGGGGATACTGTTTATGTTACATGTAAAAAGATGAGGTTTTTGACCAATCAAGTTGGTCGAGTTTAGTCCCTCTTTGCATTTACTACTTTGTGCAGAGTCCTTGCCTGTATTTTGAAATATTCCTTGCTTTATTTTGCAGCAGCCACTAAAACTCACATACAAAATTCCCTTTTTTACAGCTATTGGATGAGTGGAGCTAATGCAGGAAAAAAAGAAGTTTTTGTGGACAGCCTGCCTGGATGCCCAGACAACATCAGATTATCAAACACAGGCTTATACAGAGTTGGAATATCTACCACTCACCTTCCTAGTTTCTTTTCTCCTTTTCTGGATGCTTTAGGACCACATCCATTCCTGAAGAGATTTATTGCAAATGTAACTTTGACACAGTGTACTATTAACTATCAGTGTCACAAAAATGTTAATTTTTTAAGTATGAAAGAACTGGTTATTCTTCATTAGGAAACTCAACAGACCGCTTTATCTTTACCAGCCAGCATACCAACACATACTAACTTTGATTCTTCTGGAACATTTGAGGATTGGTTTCTTTTGAACATATTAAAACACAGCAGTTTTACTGCTGTGGTAATATCAAGAACCCATTTATAAAACAGAAACATCAGTATTGACAAAAGTAGTCTGTAGTTGCAGGCTCTCAGCCCCTTGTTTAGAGCAACATGATATTGTCAAGGCAGGTGAAGAACACTTTACAGAAAATATGAGGATTTTGCTATAGGAATCCAGCAGTGCAAAATCATTGTCACCAAGTGAGAGTCACAGAGCTGGTTATGATTAACCATGCTACTTTTTCTCAGAACAATGCTGCCTTTTCCCTAGAACTTGCACAGGAAAAACACTCAAGTGGGTGATTTGGTTGTGTTACAGCCAAGTCCCTCTTATTCTTGTTTTTAGAAAATGGGTGCCTTTTGGCAGGTGGAATAAGTTCAAACAACTTCCACACCTTCTTGAGCAAGCAGGCACTGACTGTACTTCAGTGAGCCATTACTGGACTGCCAGTTTTAGACACAGTCCAGTGGGTATTATCATCAAAAGATTAAGCAACATCAGGAAAGCAATAGATTAACACTGCCATTTCTTTCTAGCCATGGAATTTCCGCACAACGCCCACACTTGAATGAAGTGTTAACATTGTGTATTTCTTTTTTTTTCTAAAACAGGTGACTCCTTTATCATTCTCAGCATTTTAATTCACAAACATGGCTTGCTCTTAAAAATTAAGAACAAAGGAGACATTGTGGCAAGCTTCCATGACTCTGATGGTAGTGTGTCTTTGAGCATGAGGGGAAGGTGTATCTCATAATACAGAGCTGCCTCTTCTTGTGGTGCTACAGTAAACTTTATAGTTCATATAAGCCACAGCATCAAAAGAAAGATCGCAGCATTGTTTCAAGCAGCCGTCAAATATTTTTGTTTACTTACTGGAAGACTGCTCCATCACTGAAGGAGAAATGAAACCACACAGTTAAGCAGAAATTAAAAGACAATGCAGAAATACTTGTTTTAGAAGCTTGTGAAAGCCTTGGACTTAAATAGGTTAAAGGTACCAAATCACCTTGCTCTATGTAGTTCAGAAAATAGTTATGCATATATTTTTTACACAGTTATACAGAATCATCCAAGTAATTAAACTCTGTAACAGGGAGTTAGCACAGATCTTACTATGGCTCACAGTTCCCATTTTGGAAAAAGCCTGATGCAGGATTTTATTCTTCCTCTTTCCCAGAGGAAGAACATGCTGCTTTTAATTATCAACAGCAGTTTCTCCATTGTCCCTTCTGTTGAAGTTTTCCATCTAGTCAACTACATCAGTTTCCAAGGAAATATGAGCAAGTACAGCTTGCATTTAAATTTGTTCTCTCACCTCAGTGTTTCTTCCTGGTGCAAAGTAGTCACGTGTGGTCTTGCCAGATGCTGTACTTACGTAAGTAACAGCAGCCACTGTTAGGTAGCAGGGCAGTAAGCAGAGAACAGGCTTATAAATTAGGAATTCAGTCTTTAAAAGTGTGACACAGCTTGAGCCTGTGGAAAGGTTTAACTGAAGTTCAGTAACAGAAAGATAGAAGTTTGATAGGCAGCTTATTTTTTATTTCCCCAAAAGTGCAGCAGTGAACAGGGTCTTCTGGAAGGGCACTTTCTAAACAAACGTTCAAAACAGCAGACGTTAAGTACGCTCACAACATGCTACAGCAAAGTATGCTCACATACAGAGAGAAAGTAACAAATAAAATTCATTTTAATTGAATCACAGTAAATGACAGCTGTTTCATTATGACAAAATATTATATTTAGCTTGCAGAATCAGTCTTAAATTGAACTTGATTGAAAAGGTATTATACCTGCTTTGGGTGTGTTTGCATCTATGTGTCCCTGTTACAGCTTTGCTCCTCAGAATGAAGCAGCCCAATTTACTGGGCCTGTGCTGGGTAAGCACGTACGAGCTGTATTCCCTTACGCTGAAGTGATGATACTGAATGGTTTTTGGTTTAGGATAAAGTAATAAAGTTATTAGCTGTATTTCTCCCTGTATAGTATCTACTTTACCAGATCAGATCATTAAAATTCACAGCTCTGCTTTTGAAAATAATGATTTAAAAGAAAAAAAAAAAATACATAAAACCCCCACATTTTACCGAAACTCAACTCTGTACCAGTAAGGCCCTTTCATTTAACACGTGTGCCTTCAGTAACAAGGTACAGATACAGCCATGGTCAAATAGCATATGAAATGGAATACTGAGGAAGACCATTTAGTTTTAAAATCACTTAGTTGGGAATTAAAGCTGGGTAAGAGTCAAAATTCCTTCATAGTGTTTTTTTAATCATCAAGGATAAGAATTAACACTGTTCATTGAAGGCTGTAAAAATACTCAGAATTAACTGCTTCATGGAAAGAGACACCAAAGCAGTGACCAACCCCAAAAGCAGTGGAAGGCAGGCAGCTGTTGGTTCCTGTTCTTCCTTCAACTACATCGT